ACCTGTTCTGTTCTTCACGTTAAACCTGTCGGTGCTGGAAAGATCGTTGCGCTGATCCAGTTTAATCCATTGGTAAACTGGAGGCGGTTTGCCGGTGGCTGCGCATTTAGTCGATGCTGTTTCACCTTCCACTACTTCGACTGGTTCTAGTGGTAGAATTTGTGGAGGCACTTGGACTTCAACCTTAAAAAAAATTCCAAGTTTCATTCGGGAAACTTCAATAGAAAAAGACGGCGCTCACCTTAATGTTCCTGGACTTGTAAACGCCAGTCTGCATTACCACAGCGGCGCATTTATAGGTGCCATCGTCAGCTTCAGTTACATTTTTGATAAAGAGCCCATCGGCCTGTCGAATGTAGTTTTCCGAGTTTTCGGCAATTAAAGTGTCGCCTTTGTACCAGTCGATGAGTGGATAAGGTTCACCTTTCACGTGGCATCGGATCTTGTAGTTCTTCCCCGCTATTGGATATTGATTTTCGGGAGCGTCCACAAATTGGACGTCAACTGGAACAGTGCAACACATTGTTGGATAGTTTTGGAATGTTTTTACTTTTTTGCCTCTGAATCGCCAAAAGAGGGCGATTTTGAAAGCATTAAATTGTGAAACTCGCAAACTGTTCAGAACCGCTCAAACTCTTGCATTTTTCAGCACGTAGATTTTCTCAGAAAAATCCAACCTCTTACGAGTTGCAGCAAAAATTCAACTGTCCGAACCTTTCTGATAACCCTTCTCGACTACTGTCTTGTGATAAAAAGGATTCACCCAAAATACCTAACTTCCAACGAACACAAAATTTGCGATTTGTATGCGCCAATATCCAGCCATAACTAGATCACTCTGTATATTGGCCAATTATTGGTTCGATTGAAAAATTGCCAGCCCAAAAACTAACCATGATTTAAAGGGCTAGAAGAAGTTTTTTCAATTTCGAAAATCCTCCCATTAAGAGCGGAGTTATGAGCGAAATAACAGCGAGCTGCATTTGCAAAAGGGCGTCCATGTTATTCTCCCTCTAGCGGCACGATTCGGAATTGAAATCGGTGTTAAAAATTGAAATTCAACCACAAAACAGCAAAACACGGTCTAAACACGGCTATTGAATTTTTTTAAATGGTCAGAAAACAGCCAACTTATAAAGGGCGGCAATGTTATTTGCGTCCACAGTGCCCCTATTGCTCGTTGGATCGAAACACTTTTTTAAACGGATTTTAAAGAGCTCTAAGTCAGTTTTTGAGTTTTCGAAATCGGTCGGAAAAGAATTGTTATTGAATTTTTCAATTCAGCCCGTAAATAGCCAACTTATTAAGGGCGCACTTCTAAAGGGCGGCAATGTTA